TTATATGCGTACCTTTATTATTTTCTAATTATTGTAACCCTTCTCGGTTCCTCGGTTCTTATTTATTTTGCCATGCGCGTTCTCTCGCCAGACAGAGTATAGTTCGTATTATAGCAATATTATTATATTGTGTATTTGTGTTGAATATATAATATTATATTACATAATTAATAATAATTTTTTGTAGGTGCATGGAATGATGATATTTCTATTTTATATGACGTTAGCCGTTACTGGCCCGTTAGGTATCAATAATATAATAAATTATCATTTATCATTAATCATTATGTAATAATATTCTACTATAATAATAGTAAGTTACTATTATTATAAGTCGTTGTATCGTTCTGTGATTGTGATAATACCTATCATGGCTAAATATATATTATTTACATAATAATATATACCCATATACGCATTAAGTACGCATCGATATGGATGGGTAATTCCGGTGCCGCCGTCGTCGTCCGTTACCCGCCGCCCATAACGGTATACGATTACTCCATAGTCCCATATTCCCCGGACAATCAGACACCACCACGGACTATAAGATATCTTAGTCCGTGGACACCACCAAAAATTTACTTTATCATCAGCATTCGCAGACTCGCAGTATATTATTTTGTCATAATAGATCTATGCCTAAGTCAGTATACTGACGCTATAGCGTTCTCTGTGTAGCATAATATTTTTATTAGATTAGTAGGTAGATGGTCCGATATTGGCGTGTCAGCTATAAGTTATAACACATTAACACAGACTAAACACTAAAATCACCTGAGACGAGACCAGACTATAACTCATGCCACTATTGCCAGTTGCCACTGAGAGAGCGCTACTCGTTGGCGGCTTGGCGCATCCAAAATTATTCCAAATGACCGAGCGTTTTCGTACCCATATTTCTCCCACTCTACCACCTAGTCGCCACGACGAAGTAGCAACGGCGGCTGGAGTCGACGGCGGCCAGCGTACGGGCAGATTTAGTGGTGGGAATGCGCGAGATCGGACGAATTTTGGTCGCATTTGAGTAGCGCTCTCTCAGTGGCACCATAACCATAGAAATATAGAATAAAGATAATGAGTGGCACGAGGGCACGACTGCACGAGTATTAAACTATAAACTATAAGATGTCACGTGTCGATGTACATTTTTAATTTTTAACCCATCCTGCTTTCACCGTTGTCCGTTTCAGACGTTTCAGTATTTCAAAATTTCACATTTAGAACTGCTGCAGATTAATAATTCAAATAATTGCAATCGGACTAATTACAGCAGGTATGTAAACGTTCTTTTTGGTTTATTTAGTATTTTTGTTATTATTATTGTAACGTCTCTACGACGTTGGATGAGAAAGGATGAACATTTTACTCGTTATAAAATAATACTCAAGACTTTAACATTATGCATCTTTTAATTATACATCATAGTTCAGAAATAAATGTATGACTTATTTACTATTAGATATTATTAAAAATAGAATGATATTTCTATCGTAATACATTATAACGATGCTTCAGTTCAAAACTGCAACAACTCATGTTATAGCAAATCCGAGTTATGTACACCATCTTATAACGATTTAGGTTCAAGAACGCAATAAAATATATAGGTAGTTATAATTATATTGACTACAAGAGAGCATTTTCAATTTCATAATTTACATTACGTTACATATTAGCGCTACAATATAGAAAACACATTAGGTGGGTAAACCCAATAAACTGATTTTTTTTAGTTGTTGCAATTTTGAACTGGAGCATCGAATTATTATTAATATCAACACAAGTCAGTAGTCACAATTACAGCTATAACATGCATTACTGCAGCAGTGCAGCCATGATATAACAACAAGCTGGGCTTAAAATTCTAGAGGGGACTAATGTCTCCATATAGTTTTAAGAGTTCCATTTTTAATTTTATGTATAGGTAATGCCTAAGGTTAATTTATCATACCACATTGTTTATACCATGACTTCAACTATAGTACACCTAGGTTATAATATAGTAGGTAGATATATTTAATTGTTATATTTTATATAAGTTATTATATAGCCATTATATACCTATATAATAAGGATAAGTATTAAAGTATATTAAATAGTCAACTAGCTGACATATTTTTTATCCCATATTTATCTATTATGTCAGATTCCTACTACCCATAGGTATTATTACTTTAGTTATTATACTATTATTAATATTTACTTATTAATTACCTATATATAATACTATTATTACTGTATAATAGCTAATAATAATTAATAATATTTTTTTTACTATTATTACCTACCTGCTATAATATAGGTTAGGTTGTTATAGATTATACCTGATGATTTGATTTAACATCCAATTAAAATATATTTGTATTGGTATAACCGTTAAATTTAATAAATTGTTGATGTGACACAGCATAAACCTTTTAAATAGAATAAATTTCATATCAAAATTCAAACTGATCAGAATTATTATATTAATTAATAAACAAAGTGATGATGACTAAATATAATTATACTACCTAATTTCATGATTAAAAATTGTACAGTAAAAAAAAAAATTCTGAGGGGTGATAATGTGATATAAACCCTTAACTATATGTAAGCCAGTAATACTTAGGTATTTGTTTTATTCTGATTTTTACTAAAAAAAAATAGATGATAATATTGAAATTATTAAAATGACAAGTGAAAGAACAAAAAGGAGGAGAGTTAAAGAAGAACTAGAATCTGTATTTGACATTGATATTAATGATTATAATTTGCCAAAGGAAAACGAGTATAAATTGAAAGCAGAATCTGATGGTGATAATGTTATTTGTAATAAACCCTTGCATGAATATTTCCGTAGTCCAATATTAACTACTGCAAATTACTTGACTGATAATAATTGTTCCAGTTCTGAACTGTTATTTCCAAAGGTAATAGTTCTTCTATATTCTTTATTATTATTATTTTGTTTTAAATTTCTTATTATTATACAATCTCATTTTTAGTTTTCTGAAAACAATGAATATGAATTACCAACTAATGAACCAATTAATATATGTGATGAGTTTAAAGGTGATTTAGTTATGTGGGCAACACAATTTAATATACCTCATAATGCTTTGGATGGGTTATTGATAATTTTGAAAAAAGTTCCAACACTATCATCACTTCCGAAAGATTCTCGTACTATATTAGAAACAAGAAAAACTAATGCTACACATGCTTTATCAACCATAAGTCCTGGTTTATACTACCATTTTGGTTTGAGTTCATCCATTCAAGATCATTTTAAATTTAATTCAACTAATAATATTGATATGATAAAAATAGTGATTGGAATTGATGGCTTGCCAATCTCTAAAAGCAGTTCCAGTCAGCTGTGGCCAATTTTAGCATATATACGGCCATTTAAAAACTCTGTTTTCCCAATTGGGATTTACTGGGGCCACGAAAAGCCTACTAATTCTAATTTATACTTAGAACAATTTGTTACGGAAGCAAAAGAATTATTGCAAAATGGTATCAATGTAAATGGTGTAATCTTAAAAGTCATCATTGATGGATTTTCTTTAGACGCGCCCGCTAAAGCCTATGTGCTAAAAATTAAGGGACATTCTGGTTATGACTCTTGTTCACGATGTTTAGAAGAAGGAGAATATTTGAAAAACCGATCATGTTTCCCCTATTCAGCCAGTAGTGAAATTAAGCGTACCCATAATGACTATATTACAAAAAAATATGAAGAACATCATGTTGGACCTACAATATCCATATTATCTGATTTACCTGGTATAGATATTGTTAACATATTTGGATTAGATTATATGCATCTAGTTTGCCTTGGTATTATGAAAAAACTAATTCAATTATGGATTCATAAAGGACCATTAAATGTTCGGATACCTAATTCAGTACAAAAAAAAATATCTGATCAACTTTTATCATTAAAACCGAATATAACTTGTGATTTTTCCCGTAATCCTAGGGCTTTAAATGAACTACCAAGATATAAAGCCACTGAACTACGTCAAATACTGGTGTATACAGGACAAATTGTTTTTAAAGATAATATAAGCAACACATGTTATAAGCACTTTATGGCCCTAAATATAGCTATGACAATACTGTTGAGTGATAATATGCAGGAGAAATATATTGATTATGCTAGAAGTTTGCTTAAATATTTTGTTCAACAATTTGAAACTTTATATGGAAGACATTTCATTTCTCATAATGTGCATAGCCTTCTTCACATTGCTGATGATTACCTCAACTTTGGATCACTCGACAATATAAGCGCTTTTCCATTTGAAAACTTTATGAAGTCTCTTAAAAGAAAGATAAGAAAACCTGACAAACCTCTCCAACAAATTATTAAAAGATACTCTGAACAAAAAAATGTTAATACTCACAGAGATAAAAATATAGAAATAATTTTTAAAAATGAGCATACCCTGGGACCTTTATTGGATAATTTAACAGAACCACAATATAAAACTGTTGTTTTACAAAATTCAACTATAAAAACAAGAAGTATAGCTGATCGTTTTATATTAACTAAAGATAATAATATAATGGAAATATTAAATATAGCTCATACTAAGACTAGCAATGAAGTAGTTTTAGTTGGAAAAGTTTTTCTAACTAAACTACCGTTTTATGAAAAACCATTGAGTTCGACTATTTTTAATATATATATAGTTGACAACTTATCCGCTGAGTTGAGTTGGACTCCTCTTAAGAATTTTAAAAAAAAAGTTATGCTTTTAGACAATAATAGTCAAAAAATTGTTTTCCCAATTTTACATTCATCTGAGTAACAATAATTAATTTATATTATGCTTGTACATATAACATTATAACTTGTATATAACTTGTATATTTACTGAACAAAACTATATATTTATTTTAATTGGTAACTATATGATAATACTTCAGTCAATTAAGAATAAAATATTATCTATTAATTAATATGCACCTTTTTTTCAGAAACAGGTTCCTGTATAATTTTTACTATGACCTATCACGTTATTATTTTCACAAAAGAAAATTCAGTGGAAGCTGTTCCATCACACTGGTTGTCAAGAGATGGAAAAACATGTGCTTGGCCCAAAAGGCATTTAGATACAACTAGGCAAATTGAAAAAAAAACACAACCTAATACACTTGATTACACCTGGTTTGAAATTCGTGTATTATCCAACTCTATTTGTAAGTACAGATATATAGGTAATGGTTAACAGTTATACAATTATCACACATGATATATATATATGATTATTAGTTATTATTTAAAATACCTAGTATAATGAATATTACCAAAAATCGTAACTTAATAAAAGATTTTTTTTTATTTCAATTTTTTTTTAGCGAGTTTAAAAGAAGCTAAAGAAAAAGCTAAAATAGCAACTTTTACGTCTGACTTATCTTCACTGGAAGAAGATAAAAAAACACGGAACATTCGACGTAAAAAAATTGATGATGATGATGATGATGACGACGATCGTGACTTCTCATATTCAAAAATTAAAACTAAAAAACATTTTAAAACAAAACAAGACAAAATTCTAAGCCCACCAAAGTTTATTGAAACAGGTAAAATAGTTAAATAAAATGACTGAATTTTTTATGAATTTTACAACATATAATTATTTCAGGTATTGCAGGAGATAGTAATGATTCAGATTCTGGTTCTGATAATATATTGTTTTCAAACTTTAAAAGTAAGCAAAAAATCAGATTTTGTTATAATTGTTTATTTTATTTAAATTTAATTATTAATTATTTAATTTTAATAGGATCATCCGTTGCAAAAAACAGAGCTTCAGTATCCACAACTGCTTCCTTAACCTCACCATCTTTAAAATGGAACGTTGACGATATTGGCTTACTAAATTCAAACAAGATTATAAAAAAAAGTTGGATTTTGAGTCAATTTCACTTCATTCCACTTCTCCACAAAAAGATGCAGACTTACATCATGACAACATTAATGTTGATAATTTTTCAATACATTACAGTAAAATAATTTATTTTGATTATTATAAAAATTATATTATTTATTATTTAACCTACCTGCATATTATTACCTTATTAAAAAGTATAAGTACTTGATTTAATTTTACTTTATTGAACAACATCAATGCATATATTATAGTATTTGCTTAAAGTATTGTATTTAAAATTCAATTTTTTTTTTATATATATATTATATATTAGAAGATGGCATAGATAATATGAATGGAAATTTAAAAAATGACTGCCCAAAAAAGTTAAATGTTGAAGATAAACATTTGAACAATTCAATAACTCATTTTAGTACGCCATCATCGTCTGTATCAATATCAAATAATTCAACAGTTCAAACTGGTAATATATTGATTAAATAAAATCTAATCAATTTGTATTAAAAATTTTTTTTTTTTTTCAGAAATGCTTTGTATTTTGAAAAACTTAACACGTACTTTGACAAATTTGAAGTATGAAGTGAGAACTATGTCAACTAAAATTGAACGATTGGAAAATGTTATAACTGATCAGCAAAAAAACCAGAACAACTCATCTACAAAAAATAATTATTATCCTGTTGATGAAAATATTTACAAATTCCCATTGACCAGCCTTGATGAATTAACCGTATTTGAAGAAAAAATAATGGACAAAGATTTTCGACAAAAAATGGTAATCATGATTCAGTTGAAAATTAATCCATCAATATATTATTAATATTAAAAGTATATAAGAAATACATATTATAATATATAATGCATCATACACATGGTTTTCTTTTCACTAATATTTAAAATTAATAAATTTTAATTTTTAATTGAGTTTCAGCTATTAAAAATATTATAATATCACTAGTATAATAATTATACTAGTGATATTATAAATATTATATTTACTACAATTATTGTAGTGTATAGTATCCGTTTAATATAACACATTATAATTAATATACCTTTATATAATATAATAATATGTTCATTTTTTTATAGATAACATTTTTAGTTCGGCTAGAACGTACAACAGTTTCGGATATGACCCGTCAAATTATGTCTAAATTGTTTCACAATAATTTGCTGAGCAAATTCTCATATAGCGGACAAAAAAAGAAGATGATTTTCTCTTCTCTTAACTCTTGTGCTCTTATATTTGGTAATAATTATTTTTTAAATACCTATATTTTAAGTTTAAATTAATTAGAAATTAGTAGATGGAAATTTCATATGAGGTATTACTGTTATAAGATAATATTGGGTTCCATTAGAAAAAACGGTTGTAATGTGCTAATAGGTTATAAAAGTTTTATAAAAAATAATTCTTAATCAATTTTTTTCTTATATTTTATTTTAAATTTAGGGATATTTGTATAACCACTGTTATACCTCCTCCCCCCTCCCATAATTTCTTCATAATTGTATTAACTTAATTATACCTGCATACTGTACAATATTGTATAATTTTTTTTTTTTTTTTGAGGTTAAGGCTATAACTACTAATGATCATTAGCCTGTTGTACTGTAGGGGGAGTCTGTGGGTTTGTGGTGGCAGAATTTTTATTGGGGTCGGAGTGGGGGGATGGCCGGGGATTGAACCCGGACCGACTGTGCCAAAGCCGACGCGTTAAACCGCTCGGCCACCTCGTCCCCCTGTATAATTTTGTAATATATAAAATAAATAAGTATTTACATTTTATACATGTGTTTCAGAAACCATAAGAACTGTAAAAAGTCATCAAAATTGTATTGATCAAGAGATATTAAAACCTATGAAATTTTTTATGGCTAATGCCAAGTTCCGAGAAGAGAAAAAGCTAAGCAAAAATATTAATATAATTTCTTAATTTGAATCTAAATATTTATTGGTGTAATAATTTATTTTATCTACTATACCTATTACTTAGTTACCTAAACAGTTGTTATTTTAATTTTTTTTTTTGTACACTAACTTACTATGAAGAATTTTTTTATTTTTTTTTTATTACGCAAATCAAGATATATTGTGTTAATTATTTAACCTAAACAGTTGTTATATTAATTTTTTTTTTTTGTACACTAACTTACTATGAAGAATTTTTTTAATTTTTTTTTTTGTTACACAAATCAAGATATATTTTGTTAATTATTTAAACTAAACAGTTGTTATATACATTTTTTTTTTGTACACTAACTTACTATGAAGAATTTTTTTAATTTTTTTTTTGTTACACAAATCAAGATATAATGTGTTAATTATTTAACCTAAACAGTTGTTATATTAATTTTTTTTTTTTGTTACACAAATCAAGATATATTTTGTTAATTATTTAACCTAAACAGTTTTTTATTTTTTTTTTTTTTTGTACACAAATCAAGATATATCGAGTTAATTATTTAAATAATATTAGCATTTCTATTATAGGTACTTAATTGTTAATTATATACTACTATAATATAAATATATATTTTGTATGCTAACCCAACTGGATGTTTTTCTTTGAATATTTTATTTTTTTAGAAGCCTGTTTATTACTGCCTGTCAGCCATTATGTATTAACCATATAAATGGATAGTAGATATCTGAAATAGTAATTCAGTGCATTTCTATTATACATAATCTGATCTGGTTAATTATAATTTTTGGTCTAGCGTATCCTCCTTTCCAAAGTGTCTTATTTTGTCTTGTTAAATTTTATTTAAATCTAATGTAAGATCCTATAAATATTTCTTTTTTGGGTCTGTATCACATTATATTTTTCTTAAGAATGTTTTATTTATGCATATGCATGTTTATGAATTAATCATTAGCATACTGTAATGATTATAATTTCCTATTTCTTTGACATATTAAATATTTAATAGGAAATTAAAGTTATGTCAAATATCAATAAAATGATTAATTAATATATTTATTTATTATGTTATTATTCAAACATGAATTAAACAAGAGTTCTTTTCAAGACAGGTGGAAATAGCTGGTATATAGTATTTATTCTAACCAAATGTGTGAAAAATCGAGTATGTGGGCCCCCTTATAACAACCAAGACTAATATTTATAAAATAAATTAAAAATATTATCAACATCATTGTATTACATTTTAAAAATATCTTATAAATATATTTTGAAAACATCTGTTTAGAAATATTTTAAATATAATTTAAAAAATATTTTGAAAAGCAAAGTAAAATATTTTGATGACTATTTTTTCCGGCCAAAAAACGTTTTTAAAACACATAGAAAATATTGGTTGATGATAGAACGATGTTTGTAAAATATCAATCACTTTCCAAAAGATATTTTAAAAATATCTAGAAAACATAATTTTGCTATGTGGGTAGGTATACTTGGTCTTAGTAATCACTAATCAGTGTCCGGTATAGCAGTATAGGTAATATAAAAATGGTTACAATCACATGCATTAACTTATCAACTTGTGAAGTTATAAACATATTAATTAAAGTACTTTTATGTGACATTATTTTGTTATCCTAAAATCGCAATCAATTGTATACTAGAATGTCTATTGAATTATAATAATATCGTTATATTACTGAACTCTTCTCTAATGTGAAATTGGCTGAAATGTAGTCACTAGTCACTTATACTGAATTCAACAATTGATGTGTCAAAGCACGGTCAATTTGTTTTTGTGTAAAAGTGTAGGCATTGTATACAAAATTTGAGGTTTTTTTAATTTGAATAATTTTTCTATAATACATTTTCATACCATTTCATCGAATCCCACTTGGCTGACAAAAAAAACCAGCTGTATATGGATTGATAACAAATTCCATGATTTGGCCGAATAATATTTTTCCTAATACCACTTTTCCTAGGTTCTTACTCATCAGACTTTGGATGGGTAGGCACTACGCCCTGAACTAACCGTTGGAAAAACGTGTAAAGTAATGTACAGTAGGTATATGACTCACTGTATGTACCTATATTTTACTTTACATGGTTATTAAAAATTTAAATTACACCTATAAAACTTTTAGAGTGCCTACTGCCTATATTATTAAAATAAAAAACTGCACACTAGTGAAGCCGGAATATTCAGCATCGAAACAGACCATATCGTATACATATACGATTTTATTTTGATCAAAGAATTAAAAAACCAGCAGCAACATTTTGAGCTTGGTATTTTAGCTCAAAAAGATGTAATCAAGCTCCAAAAAATAAGGATAAAATACAAAACGTTAGAAGAATGATTAAAAACTGCAAAAGAGAGGTAAATAGTTATCAGTTATCATATATTCAACATGGGTAGTGGGTATATATGTACATTTATTTCACCTGAGCCAATTTAAATATCTTACCGAAGTAATTGCATAGTGTTTGACCACAATACTCCCCTGCAATGGCGTCCGCAGGGGGGGGCTAAAGGGCTGAAGCCCCCCCCCCATTGCCCGTATTATTGTTACTTTTTCAAAAAAATATTAATCAAGTTAAACTGTCAACTATATTAAGCAAGAAGTAAAAATCATATATGTCTTACCCAGAATGAACTCATTTTTGAAAGAACATATTATTTGCATACCAATTTTCATAAATTATCTGTAATTTTTAGGTAAAAGTATGAACTACTTGTATGAAAGACCTTGTATTAAATTGTCTAGCCTTAGCTATGTATATTTTATATTTTATAAGTTTTGAACTACCTACAAATTAACTGTCATTTTGACGAAATTTGAACTTTAAATGCTTATAAAAAATAACCATGGTGCCTATGTAGTGTTTGAAGTATGAAATATTTCACAAAAACGTGACACATTGAACATTTTTTACACCAATAAAAACACAATTTATTTATTTTTTTAACACAATGTTCAGTGTTCTAAATTCTAATGACAGAATTCAGTATTTATACAATATACATGTATAATATTGTATACCTACTTGTATCATTTAAACATTAAAATATTTAAAAATTTTGAATACCATTTTAAATGTATAATACCAAAGGTTAGGTATACATACAGGTACCATATAGTTATGAAAGTAATTTATGACAATTATATGTAAATATAAAACTTATTTAAAAATAAAACAAAATATATCAAAATACTGAAATATTTCATTTTTTTAAATTTCATGAAATTTTCAAACACTATGCCTATGTATCGTTAATATTTTAGCTATAATAAAATAACTTACGTATTAAATTTTTAAGGTTTTTGACCGGATAAATAATTTTTTATTGACATTTATATAGAAAAAAAATTTAATTATTCAAATACAATCCAAGTGAAGACGGTATTTTCATTTTTTTCTCCAATTATTTTTAAAAGCACTGAGAATTTTCAATTTCGACCTCCTAAAAGTACCAACTAGACCCAATTTGCTTCCAAAAACATACACTGGGCACCGAAGCTTATGATCAGAGCATTTTTGCTACCAGAAAAGTTGAAAAGTTACAAACATTTTAAAATAAAATGTATACCTCAAATAAACGTCTGAAATTATTAGACTGGACAAAATAAAAATGTAACTAATTTTCAAGCCCCCCCCCCCATTGAAAAATCCTGCGGACGCAACTGCTCCCCTGAAAATATTGAAATATTACCATATATAATATATGTATATCGCCCACAAGCAGTGCATATTTAAAATATATTCAGATTATCTAAAGTTCCTCGCCGTTAGCCGTGCGAGCATGACCTACGCACTTGCTCGCTCGGTCGCTCTTGTATTACATCGTGTTTCTCTCCCTACGGGAAAGAAGGAAAGATTCTACCTCACTGAGTTCTTCAACGTGTTTACACATCGTCATCAGCAGCTCTCAGAATTCGGTCACTCCGACCACAAGTAATATTATATAACTTAACTCATCTATTAAAATATTTACATTAAGTTTAAACATACAATACCCACACAACTGCTCACACTATAACCAAACCCGGGCACTGCCCGCGTATCGACCTTTGGACCCCAACCAGATAAGCTATGTCACGTAACCAGCCAACAGTCTCCCCAATTACGATTGTCAACAATAAAATCGTAAACAAACAAAAAAATAACGATAAGACAAAAACTAGTGAAGGCAAACGCGCCTTATCTACATCATCCACCCCACCGTCTTCACCGTCTGCCATCATTGCCAAGAAAACGAAACTATTTGTGACACCAAATCGCTATGAAGCTCTAATAGCTGACGATGATAATCCGAACCCCGATAACGAAAACATAGACATCGATAGCCAGCTTGAAACTTCCAGCCAGGGGCAATCGAATACTACACATGACACACCAAAGCCTATTCTCCCTCCACCCGTATTTATCAAAGGCGTCCTGGATTACATAGGATTACGAAACAGTATTCGAGACCTAATTGGCCCAACCAGCTTTTCGTGTAAGTCCTCTACGGCCCACCTTAAAATTCAAACAGACAGCCCTGACAATTACAGGAAACTAATCCGACTCCTTAAAGACATTAATGCCCAATATCACACCTACCAACTCCACTCGGAAAAATCCTTAAGAATAGTAGTCAAAAATCTTCATCCAACTACCCCAGTTGAAGACATCGCTGCTGCAATCGAAGAAATTGGCCACTCAGTCAAAAATGTAATAAACATCAGGCACCATCAAACAAAATCACCACTCCCAATGTTCTTTGTTGATCTAAACCCTCAAGAAAGCGACAACGATATTTTCTCCATCACTGCCCTACTACATACAAAAGTCAAAATAGAAGAACCACATAAAAAACGAGAAATACCGCAATGCCTTAACTGCCAGTCCTATGGCCACACCCGAACCTACTGCGCTTACCCCCCTAAATGCGTCAAATGCGGCGACTGCCACCCAACATCATCATGTATAAAACCTCCAGAGCTCCCTGCAAAATGTGCCCTCTG